GGTCTTTAGTGTTGTGGACAGATTTCCTGCACTTTCTCGTGTTTAACTCTGGGTGACCATCATAAAATCATAGCACAAATTCTATGTCCTGATTCTAATTGTTCTCCTTACAACCCCTGACTACAATAAAAGGTAAATGTTTTGAATAGATTGAAGACATCAGTGAGCTATGGCCGTGCAACTAAAGACACTCATGAAAGAGGCCTTCCAGAAAGGCTTCAGAAAGCAGTAAGAATAATGCAATAAGTGTGCTCGAAGTGAGTAAGGATTATTTTGAGGATTAACAACAATGTGCCTTTTACTGTAATATATTTTTAAAAACTCTGACATTCACCATGGTTTTCAATCACACTGCATAGTTTTTAAATTAGTATTCACATGTCTTTTTCTTTATGAATATGCATGATCTTTTTCAACACATTTATAGCTAGTATTATAAAAAATGCCTTGGAAACTAAGGATGAAAAATTCATGTTTACATATGCACACATCCTGCATATATGTGTGTACGGTGAGTTTCCAGCATATGTCTGAAGAGGCTGCAGGTTACAAATGTGTGAAATAGAATAAAATCACACAATTGCCTATGCATGAGGAAAAGCAAAGTGCAGATTCCTACCTTGTTGCCAAAGAGTAAGCAGATGCCTTGGTATCAACCTGCGGGGACACCCAGAGAGCTATGCTGAGCACCCTCCTAAGCAAACGCTAGACGTGGACCAGTGGCAGTCTGCAGCCATGGAAATAGGCCATGCTCAAACAAAGTTGAAGCTCGCTGATTCTTATACAAATTTTGTTAGAATTTGTTAAAATTTTATATGTTTCTAAATAAATAATAGTCCCTTTTGTTTCCAGTTTGCTGGTGACCTTCAATGTTTCACAGAAAGTGGGCCAAGGCCAGGTACCTGCTGCAGCCCTCATTGCTGCCAAAATCCCTGTGCAGTCAGTCTGCTGCCCAGTTCTTGTAAGGAAGACTGCGAAAGGCCCATGGGGAGTGACAACAGGGGAGGAGTCCTCCCCTCGGGCTTCAGAGGAGCCAGTGTGCTTGATGTGGGGACAGCCGCTACCTGGTGGCTGTCCTTGCGTCCCTGCTGCTCACCTGCCTGGCCCTCATGTGCCCAGCAGGCACACTGCTATCCTTCGCTGGAGGCACAGAGGGCTGGTGGTAGCGGATGTGCAGCCTTGCCTGGCGGGCTTTTGCTAGTGAAAATCAGCCTGCACTCATTCAAATTGGGCACTGTGAGGTTGTCAAGGTCTGTCTGTTATGTCTGTGTCCCAAAGGCCTTAGATGCCAAAACAGTGAAGGACAGAACCCAACCTGCCTAGGTGCTTTGGGGACTAGCAGGGGTCTTGGCCCATCTGAAGTTCTGTAAGCACAGCTGCTTGCCTTTGCCCCATGTCCAGCACACCTCCGAAGGGATGGGGTGTCTGGGAGTGCACATGTCACCAATTGACTAAGGTTGGGGAGCAACTTGAGGGGCTCATCAGCAATAGCGGAGCTGGGCAAAGGGCGAGTCACATTTGCGTCCCAGGACTCGATTTGTCATCATTGGTCCTGAAAATTAGGAGTTGACTTTATTTCCCAGAGCTTTCACAGCCAGGACGTTTTCTTCTCTAGATATGCGTTAAAAATCGTACCACCTGGAAGTGGGGTGCTGGTCACAGAGTGAATTTGGGCAACACGTAGGAGGGATTTAGACACGTGGTATGTTGCTCCTCTAAGTGAAGGTCAGCTGAAAACTGGTTTTGCTGATCTTTAAAGATCCGAGTATATTATAAATGTATCATTCATTAAGTAAAGTTATTCTCAGTAGTGTTGTTCAAAGGTTTTCTAGTTAGCAGGTTAAGTGGTCGTAACTAGCATTTCCCTCAGTCTTTTCCCCTTTGTTTCTTTCTTTATTCCTTCTCTTCCCTTTTTCTCTCTTCCTTCTCTAGCTGCACTAGAGATAGAACCAGGGCCTGACACACGTGGGCCACGCGGCCACCCCTGAGCTGTACCCAGGCGCCCTTGCTTTATTTCTGGTTTAGGCCACGGGGCTTCCTCGTCCGTGCTGATGCCCTCATTCTTGGGCCACGTTCTACTCCTTGCCAGCCTTTGGACAGAAAGGTGAACCCTTTGCTGTCTACTGCCCAACACTTGATGGATGGCCTTTGTCCTTGTCCACCCCAGTATGTTCCTCACAGATGGCTTCTCACCTGGAGCCCTCTGTGGCTTCCCTCGGTACCCTGGAACTCTTGTACAGCACTTGCTCTGCCCGCAGCCTCAGGGGTTTCTCAGGGCTCGTTCTCCCTGCAGCGGTTACATGGAAATGCTTTTTACATATTTGCAGTTCCCAGAGCCTCTAATAAGGTAGCTAAAATTTGAGACAAAATAACCATATTTTTAATGACATGCAGATTGGATGCCCTATTTGATAGCTAATAGACGCCCTCACCAGCACACTTGCAGATCATTTGTCTTCAAGCAACGAACTGCCTTGGGGTGACAAGACCCAGTGTGACTGAGTGGCCTGTGGACAATGAGCCCTTGGGCTGCCGTGGGCATGGTGTTGAGTAACCTGTAGAAGGCTGATGTGAGCACCAACAGCTGTCGCCTGAGAGGCGCTAAGCTGCTCTCTCCACTTGGTAGAGAGGCTGTCAGAGAGATGATTGGGTTCATCTCAGATCTGAGCCCACCCAGAGAAAGTGCTTGCTCTTTGGGGTTCACCAAAGATGGGTGTGTACCCAGAAGATCCTCCAGGGCTTGGCAGAGCCATAGCCTTTTTTCAGAGATGAGGACCGGAGGTGATTTTCCCACCTTACTGCCAGATGAGTCTCCTCTGTGTCCCACTGGGCCCCCTGGTAGAGGTGCTGAGTCTGGGAGGGGACAGCATCCTCTGTTTATAGGACCCACCAGTAGGAGTATGGCACTGAAAAAGAGCAGATGACATGGTGATTTCACGTGGTGGCTCTCTCCAGAGAAGAGATGGCCTGGTCTTGCCCTGGAAGATATCCTTGCCAGGCAGGAGGCCCAGGGGGCAAATATATGGGTTCAGCTTCAAGATGTGTCCTATCCCCAGGCTGTCCTTGCATGGCTCTGCTCCTGACCCCAGACTTCTGCTCCCTGTGTGCCCTCTGCAAGTCCTGGGCCTCTTTTCTGAGGCACTAACAGTTTCTGGGTCGCCTTTGTGCCCTGACTTGCCAGCAGCCAGAGTCTGTCATGCAGAAGCAGCCAGACAGACCTTTTCCCAGAGTTAGCCAGCACCGCCAGAAGCAGACGAGCCAGTGGCTGACATTGCCCAGCCTGATTTGAGGCTTCTTGTTCACTAATAACACCACTGCAAATCCAGCCTGGAGAGGGGAGCTGAGAAGAGAGAAGGCAGGTGTCGGGCCATGTTTCTGGTCTCCGTGGCTTCCCTCTGCCTCTTTCTTCTGTGCTCCTTCCTCTCAGCTTCTGAAACACAGACTCCTTCCCCCACTGTGGGAGACAACTCCATTGACTCCCTTTGAATCCAAAACAATTGCTGTGACTTTGATTACTTGGAGACTCATTTCCTTATACTGATACGTAAAAAGCTAGCTAGAGTATTTCCTTCTCTTCAGTTGGCTCTGAGCATTGCAAATAAGGCCAGCTGAGGTGCTTATGTGCAAAGTCTATGGCCATCAGACAGTCCTGTTTCCTAGCATAGTGTTCTCCACACACAGATGGCGAGATGTTAGAGCAAATAGCTCTGGGAATGTCAACTGTCAAGATTAGAGGCTATGACTCCCCAGGGCATAAGAGTTTGCATGCCAGAAACCTAAGGCATAGCCCCCCAAAACAATTCCACTGCTACCTTAATTGGGTTATGTAAATTGACCCTTCTGCATGTCTTTATCTTTGCAAATTACAGAGATATGATTCTTGCACCTAGCCAGCCAGCTCAAGTTACTCAGTAATCCCCTCACTATCACTCATCCCTGAGCCACGCCCCTTCTTCACAAGATAATAAATGCTGGAAGAGGCCTGGGATCCAGGCCTTTGTTTGCATGTCCTCATGAGGATTGGACTTAGGACCCCTTGGCTGCCCTTAACTTGGAACATGTCTTGGTGTCTTTACTCTCACTGTGGGTTGGATTGGTGGTGGTAGATTGCAATTAACCTGCTAGGATTCCAATAATGTCTCAGTGGAATTACAAATATAACTTTTTGGATTGTGAGGAAAACTAGAAAGAAGATTACAATACTTGGGTGAGTGAACTCAATATTTGGGTTTACAATACCCACAACTGTGCCGCCTTCTCTGTTTCATGCAGTCTACATGCTCCATGAATGGATGAGTCTCTCCTCATTGCGAGAACACATCTCAAATGTCTTCTTAGAAAAGCTGTTATTGTTTTCCTTTTCACTACTTCCTTTTCTCCATCGTGAATACTAGGATGCCTAATTATTTTAAATTCTCGTCAGTTCCTTGTGTAAGTGTGGCCTCCTAGATGGTGGGATGGTGACTGGTGTATCTGTCACTGTTTGTCCAAGATCCAGCTTCTAAACACACATTCTTCTCTCTGTCTAAGAGTTGGATAAGGCAGAGGTCTATCTCTAAAGCCTGCCTGGACCTCTGACCCACAGTCATTGGGCATGAGCCCTACCACTGGGATTTACCTAGTTAGGACATGCAGGAGAGACGTGGGCCAAAATTCCACCCCCATGACCAAGGAAATTTTCTAAATGGGAAGTTGACAAACAGAAAACAGATTGCATAGCTGGCTTCCATAGTGAAATAATTGAGTCTTTTTTTTTCCTTTAGCTTCTGTTGATTTATATTTAGAAGTAATTATAATGTTTGATTACAAAGAAAATTAAATGAAACATTATTATGAAGTTAAAAATCTATGCTAATAGCATAACAGTAAAAATTATAATATATTGTCTTATAATTTGGATTAAAGATCTTGAGAACATTACTAACTTATGTAACTTTTGAATATAAATGAGGATAATAGAACTTAATTTGATAAAAGTTGTTCATTTTTATCCATTTTAGGTCATCACATTGCAGATGCATAAAACAGCAGAATGCACCATATGGTCTGGTCAGTTGTTTATCCTGGTAAGTGAGATAAAGGACTTATTCAACATTAAAAATGAATGATAAGAAGGCCTCTCTGGGGCAGTTCGAATTTGGTGGTATCAAAAAAGTTTTATGCAATCAGAGCTAGGACTTCACTTAGGTTATGAAATAAGAATTAGTGAAGTTCTAGTCCAGATCTGGAGCAGGAAACCTGACGGGTGGATGCCATTCCCAAGAGAAACTGAAGGTCAGCAGGCAGCCGAGAAGCAACATATTTTCAATTTAACTCCATTTTAAAGAGGATTTCAGAGCAAATCTTTAGTACTTTTTCCAAATCACGGCAAGCAAGTAATCAACAGTTTTAAGAGTCCCTGAGTACTCATTGACTTAACAGACAATTACAGCGTATTGTGGTTTTGTTTTTGAAAAAAAAAGTTAGCTGTTTTAGAAGTCCCTAATTACAGATTTACAAGGCAGACTTATCAAGAAAACATAACGCATTTTGAGATGTACTTACAGTCCTAATGATGCGCTCTGCCGCAAGGTTCCTTAAAGAAGGGCTCAGCCAATGTCCAGGCCTTCCAAAGAGGGAGGGCAGAAGGGCTTCACTTTGCTGAGAATCTTGGCCTTTGGCCACCTGGTGCCAGCCTGGCCCATGCTGCCCATTTCCATGATGGCTGCACAATGCTGCTCACTGGTCTCTGTCCACAGAGGAGGCCCACTGTGGTCTGGTAGGCTGAGCCCATGTGGTACTGACCACAGCAGCTGTGGCAGCTACAAGGCCCAGCTCCACGTGGAGCTGAAGGAGACATGATGCTCTTGTCCTTCTAAGAGGCATGAGGTGTGTCAGTGGTTGGACACTGAGGTCCAACACATTCCTTCCTTCTCCCAGCTTCTGACTCATCTCTGGCAGTAGATTTGGGAAAGTCTGAGTGTCCAGCGAGGAGTCTGAGTTAGGCCACAGATCGTGTATGTTCTCTGAAAGAAGACTAGTGCCTCATTCAGAAGACTAGTGCCTTCCACAGGCACTGCATGCAGTTAGTACAGCCACTCGTCAGTGACCCTGCCGCACCTGGTGAGCCACACCTGTGGGCCTGACCCTATGGGCTGAGAAAGGGCTGGGCCAGCTTCGTGATGCTGTTGCAGCTGGATGAAGTTTATCTGCCTTTCCTCTGTACCGAGCACTCTGCAAGGACTTCCAGGACCCCTGGGCCATAAGCTGTACTCTCGTGATGCAATGTCTGGAAGTCACAGGGTAAGGAGGGTGGGTGCTGAGAGCCCTCTGGGGCTGCCTGGCCTGCTGCCGATGTGGGCTGTGACTGTGGCTATGGCTGCTTTGCTACTGTGCACCCCAGTGCGGGTGTAAGAGGCGCCTCCTCTCAGTGCCTTCTTTCTGAGTCAGAGGTCAGGCTGGGGCCAGTGCGTGAGGGATGCTGCTCCCGACCAGCTCAGTGGCGTTACCTCTACCCCTTGGAAACAGTCTATCTACTTGTCTTTCATGGTATTGAAAAGGTGAATAAATAGCTGAGTCTCCGCTCACAAACAGGTGTATCCTTAAATGACTCGGGAACGAACTTGGGCGCAAATACTTCTTTGATATAAAAGCAACATTACACTTCTTAAAGCACTCTTCAGGTGAGAATTAAATAGTGTGAATGCTTTTTTATTATTCCCATTTTGCTCTGCATTCTAAGCAACCAAGAACCAAGAATTTGAAATAAATACAAACCTAAAATCCAGTGTTCACTGTGAAAATCAAACTTAGAGAAGAAGAAATTATTAATTCTTTGGTAAGTAAGAGCCCTTGGCTTACCTATTTGTTGTTATCATTGATTGGTGCTTATGCAGACTTGGATATTCGTTTCATATCAGAAAGTAATGAGGAGCCCAAAATTAAAAAGGAAAACAAAAGACAGATCATAGGAAACAGAGTTAGATCTTTCACAAAAGGGAAGAGGACGCTGAGGGCAGGAAGCAGGAGGGGGAGGAAGGGGTTGTGAACAGAGTAAAGACGTGTTATATACATGCGTGTACCAGTTCTCCACCATGACTGTAATCATTTTGCACTGCAAACATGGACTAATAGAAATAAAAACTGAAAAAATAGATTTTTGACCTTTACTAAAGCAGTCAGTTTGACCCCAACTCAAGACTCTGACAGCTGTGTGAGGGTAGCAAGTTTGCAGGCCCCTGGGGTAAGAGCTCTCAGTGGCTGTCCATCCAGGGGGTGACCTTTGGCCTCCACAGCCTGCTCGCGGGTCCCACACATCGTCCACTGCTTGTCAGAGGACCGTGGACAGACACAAAGTCAGAGCTGCTCCGTCCACCTGGTGGCCTCTCCCCGCCATCGCTGGCTTAACTCCTGACCATCCAGTCTTCTGCTGTCTGGTACTCGCCTGGCGACAAGGATTCGCAGCAGGACTCCCGAAAGTACTCACATCCCACAGAGCTTCCTGCGGGCGTGTTCATGGTGTTAGTCCCAAATGGTTCACAGGGGCAAGGCGACTGCTGAGAACACACCCGTTCTCTTCCTTTTCCCTCTTCCCCTCCGAGATGACACCCTGTCGAACACCCACATCCTCCTTAGGGCTGCCTCTCTAGACTATTTTCCTGAACTATAAAAGCTTTTATTGCAGAACAGAGTAAAAGCCATGTGGTGATGAAAGTTTTTATTCTTTAATGTACAGTTTATATTTTTTTAGATGGACAAGAACATCCTCCATCCTCTCCTTTGAAGTTGGCATTGTCTTTTATTGTGATAGGCTTGTTTTGTAGTGGAAGTCATTAGGGGAGAAGGGGATCTTTGATGTGATGCCTCCCACCACACTGTGCTGCAGCACCGAGCCGGGAGGGGCAATCCAGCCGCAATACGTGGAGTCACCGTGTGTTCCTGGGCTGTAAATTCAGAGTAAGGCAAAAGGAAAAGAAAAGAAAAGAAAATGTCCAGTCGCATTTAATGGAGAATATGCCCTGAAGCCAGGTCTGCTGTCCATTACTGAACTAGATGGCTACACTGGGCGTGTCCCAAGAGGAAGTCACTGGGGGAGCCGAGGTGCGTGCTGGGTGAAGACTCTGCCACTTGTCTCAGTACTGCAGTCAAGTTGAGTTTGGGGAGCGTTCTAGTGCCAGCCTCTGGCTTCCATGGTACGGTGGAACTGGGTCAGTCACATTTGTAAGTGCTTCTCTCTCTCTCTCTGTCTCTCTCTCCCTGTCTCTGTCTCTGTGTTTCTCTCTCTACCTATCTCTCTGCCTGTCTCTCTTTCTCTCTCTGTATCTCTTTCTCTGTTTGTCTCTCTCTGTCTCTTTCTCTCCCCTTAACTCTTTCTGTGTGTGCATGTGTGTTTTACTTTGTACACATGCTGGAATACTATTCCATTCATTCAAAGCATTTGATCACCTTGATATGCCTGACTACCCTTGCTATTTTCTAAAGCTAAGATTAACTAAGAGAGTTTGTGTACACTAACACATATTACATTTTGATGATTCTATAAAGCACAGATTAGCAGAAGGAATGAAAAGGAAAAAGCAACAAAAATATAATCATAGTTGGGGGCTTCAATAGCCCACTTTCAGTCTGCTAGTGAAAATCAGCAGGAAAGCATTGCTGTCGATAACACTGCAAACCAAGTGTGCCGGTGGGCACAGGAAGTTTTACTCCAACAGAGCATGCGCGTTCCAGTGCACACACAGTTTCCTCTAGTGTAGATCATAGTTTGGATCCAAAAATATATCTTAACAAATGTAAGAAGTTTTAAATACTTTGTAATATCTTCTCTGTCTACACTGGTATCAACATGGGGATTAATAATGAGATAGTTTTGAAAATTGACCAATGATAGAAAATTAAACTTCCTGAGACACTGGGTCAAAGGGAGAAATGGAAAGATAGTAAAAGCAAAAAGTTACATGACAAACTAAAATGACAGCACAACTCATTAAAGCAGAGGGGAAGGCAGAAAAGGCAGCGCTCAGAGGGAAGTTCGTGGCGATAAACAGCTCCCTGCCTAGGAAAGGCAGAGGCCGGGGAGCAGCTTGGCTGCTCACCTCGCCTCACGGAACTACATAAAAGGAAACTGGGCCATCAGCACAAGGAAGCAAGTACCAAGATCAGAGGAAACCAAATACACTAGAAAGACGAAAGATCAAAGAAACTAAAAACTGGTGTCGGAAAAGATACAGTTTACAAAGCTTTAGCCAGACTAGCCAAAGAAAGACGCGAGGCCACTGATGCTGCAGAAGCACAAAGAATTCCCAGGGATGCTGTGTTCTTGGCGTGTGTATTTGCTGCACCGCTGACAGTCACTTTGGAGCGTAGCCCTCTGCTTATTAAAAGTATGTCCTGTGGACCATCTGACGTATCCCCTGGGAGAAGCCTCCTGTACCTCAGGTTTACGCATCTCCCAGTTGCATCTAGGGGCCACCTCCAGGGACTGGCCTTGCCATCTGGCCTGTGAAAGTGCCCTCTGTGATGGCAGCAGGACAGCAGAGTCGCCTAAGGACATACTTGTCAGAACAGAGCCCCAGCCTGAAATGGCGTATGGCTGCATATGGGATCCAGGAAGTTGAACTGAGAAGCAGAGAAGAGAATGACGATTATCAGGGTCTGGGGGTGGGGGGAATGCATCCACGTGAGTGTGAATGTGAGGATATAAACTGAGTTGTTAGTTCTGGGGATCTAATATAGAGCATGAGAAGAGATGGATTAATAATTTATGCAAAGTATGCACATATCAGATCATTACACAGTACATCTTAAATATATACTGTCTCTCTGGATTGAACATTTAAAATAAAAATGATGTATGGCAGTTGATTCTTGTATGGCATAGCAGTAGCAGAGTCAAAGGAGCATAGATCTCCAAGTTAGGAACCTTGAATTCTGATCCTATCTATCAAATTGTGATTTATAAAGTGCTGCTAAATTATTTGACCTTCTAAACTTTTATTTACTGAAATAAGCAGACACCACATGGATGGTGGTTCTCAACTTGTATGGGGAACACTTACAAAATGAGATCTGCAGGGTTGTCTCTAGA